CTTTGGTGTGATCTCAGCTCTGTTACTTACTAGCTAGGTATCCTAGGAAAAATCACTTAATTCCTCTGAACCTCAGTTTATTTTTATGCAAAACAAATGTAAGACAAAAGCTACAATGGTGTTGTTAATAATAAAAGAGGATATGTATTATCCAAGTAATAGACACAAAATAGTTATTTCATAAATGATATTAGCATCAGATCAGTGCCCCTCAACAAGAAAATGGGTAAGAAATTAATAGATTATAAAACCTCAGAGTACAAACAGACTTTACTTTAGGAATTATTGATCCCAAAACCTTACTTCTAGTTTTTTTTTTCTTTTTTAAGTATGTATCCTCTATAGACTGATAGAAGTGCCTGGAACTTATGCTTATTTTTATTCAACCTGTAGACATTATATAGGGTAAAAACTCTTCCACCATTCTGATTTTGTGGAAGAAAAGTGGGCACAGCATGGGAAGGAGATTGTTCTGCATAATTTAAAAATATATCTTTACCAGTTTTGGGTATAAGGTAATTTATACAATACAGAAGCCTATTAAAAAAGGGGGAGCTTGGGGATGGGAAACAAAAAAATGACAGTGTCTCTGAGTCTGTTTCAACTCACCATTTCACTTAATTCCACCAACCCATCTCTCTAGAAGCAAATACTTCTATTTTTTCACATATTCTTTTTCTGTACATTTCAAATCTGCAAAAAAAAATTTAAAAGAATAGTGCAGTTAACACTTACATACCTATTTCTTAGATTGCCCAAATGAACATGTTTGCCTTATTGCTTTAATTCTCTGTATATATTCACTTTATCTATTAATTTGGTTTGCTAAAGGTAAGTTTCAGAGACCATGACCCTTTCCCACTAAATACTTAAGCTGTGACATCCTAAAAATGAGGATGTCTCCTATAGGATTACAATATCATTATTATAAATTAAGAAATAAAGTAATTTTAACTAATACATAATATCCATTTCTCCAATTGCCCCAAAGCTTTATCCTATCCTTCCCCCCACCCCCTTTTTTGTTTTTCATGATGTTGACTTTTATGAAGACTTCAGGCCAGTTGTCTTTTTATTAGTGGGTGGGTGACAGCCTGAGAACTCAATGGAAAAGTCCTCACTAGAGGTTCTAGGGAGCTCAGTAAGGTGATGCTAAAAAGAAATCATTAATAAACAGTGAAAAGGAAGAAATCAAACCGTCATTATCTGCAAAAGATATAATAGTCTTTTAGGAAACTCAGTGAATCTATAGACAAATTATAAAGACATAGGGGATTTCAGCAAGATTATTGTATAAAAAAATCAATATCCGTATGTGAACAAAAAAAGAAAAACAAAATGTTTGAAGTGAATCTTATACAATTGCATCAAAAAGTGAAACGCCTAGGAATGAATCTAGGAATAAATATGCAAGAGTATTATGATCAAAATCGTAAACATTCAGTGAAAGAGATTAGGAAGAACTTAGTAATATAAAAGTATACCACACTTTCATGGGTTGCAAAACAATATAGTAAAGATGTCAGTCCTCTCCAACTTGTATTACAGCTTCAATATAATAACAAAATCCCCAAGGGCATTGCTTTAATAATTAAATATGACTATCATTTTGTTTAGCTGTGTTCAGAGAATAAACTAGACAGGCGAATACACCATGGAGAACATTAACCTAGAGGTGTAGATAACCTACAAGTTCTTCAGAAAACATCTATCATCTTTATACTATTTCACATTCAGTGTTTTCATTAAAGATGGGTACACATTTTATTTATTTATTTATTGGCAGCTACTTCTCATCCACATTAACTGTTTGTAGGTTTTTGAAAGTGGTGACAGGTACATAGGTAACCAATGTATATAGAGCTTATTTGGTGAATCTTCATCCTCATTATGTTTTCTCAACAACTGCACACGGATGCGGTAGGGGACATTTCTTATTCCTTGGCCCATACATCTTTGAGGAGTCTGGTGTCCCTGGGCACATCTGGAATTCCCATCTCCTTCATTGTGGGAGACCAGCTCCCGCAGGTCCAGGGGTTCCCTCAGGTGGAGACGATGTCCTTGAGGAAAAAAAAAGAAAAGACGCGTGGAGCCACAGGAGCACTTTCAATAAGAAGTGTTTCTCTTTATTTTTACAGCATGTCCTTTTTATACTGGACAGTTGACTATTTACATCATTGAGCTGTTTTTCCCAGAATTAAACTTTTACCCATTAGGAAGTAGTTTTTTACATAGTTTCAATGATTCTTCCTTTCCCAGGGTCTATTTTCTTTAGAGGTTTGTTTTTCTCAGAGTTTTACTTCCTCACGATGTTTCTGCTACAGGGTACAGCCCAATCTGTTCTATACTAATGACTAACTTATCCTAACTATGTTTCAATTTCTACAGATAATGGCCAGAGCTGAGCTCCTGCCTTGTCTCCTAAAGGATGTTTACCACTTAGCAATTCTTTCAAACACTACTGGCTAAACAGGATCTTAAGAATTATAAGGTGCATAACTTGTCTATTACTAAGAAACTAACAGCAAAACAGAATTATCTCCAATGTGTCTAAAACTCACTTATTCAGTTAAGATAAACTAAACAACCAATATAAGAAGGGGTGTCAGATCTTCGTCCTACTGGGGGCATCCAAAAGGGAATTTCAAAATTTTTCAAGATGTAAAGCAGTATCTGTTTCTCAGTCAGAGCTTCAGTATTTGTCACAATAGCAGTGCACTTCGCCATGTCAAACACTGAGGCGCAGCCGGCTCCCAACACTTCGTGGCAAATTTCCGGCTCTCTCTGAGTGCTGGAGGGGCACACTTCTTGAAACCCACTCCATGGATGCCCTTGTGAATGTCAATGGCATATTCTCTGGTCACTACCTTGTTGATGGCAGAACAGCCCTTCTCGCCACCCTTCTTCATGGGAGCCATTCTGCCCAAGTTGGAAAGGAAGAGCGCAAGGTATTGTCCTATGAGAACACATTTTAAAACAATGAAGTACATGTTCTGATAAAGGACAAAAGTATGTGAAACATAGGCAGTTGTACAACACATAGGTTGCTCTTACCTGGAGATATACAAGGGGAATGTTCTTTGTATAAACACATAAATCACATCGATGTTTGGTTTTATATGTATAGGCTAGTTGGAAGGCTCATCAAAAAGCCTTTAAGTGGGAATTCCTCTAGAAAGGCAAACAGAGAAGGGGCAGTTACTGTATAACCGTTATAGCATGGGAGGCTTTTCCATAGAATACGGAGTATCATTTTACCTTTAAAAACCTTTACAGGGCCGGCCGAGTGGCTCAGTTGGTTAAGATCTGGCTCAAGAGTTTGAGCTCTGAGCAACAGCAGTTCGAGTCCCAGCCCGAGCTGAGCAGCCACTGAGCTGCCAATAGGTGGCAGGATGGCTCAGCTTAAAAAAAAAAAAAAAAAAACCCTTTACAGAAGTTAGTTCTGGAGTAGAGGCATTTGTGTTCCTGATTAAAGAAAATCTTTATGTTCTTCTCCTCAGAATAAATGGCTGTTGTCATGCAGAGGAGGCCAAAACCTTCCTTCTGTGTCTCTTCTCTCTCCGGACAGCACCATAGCCCCCTGCTGGTGGGGACTGTGCTGTGAACCCTGTATCCCAGGCTGCTAGTCCCAGTCCGTAGACAGTGAGCCCTCTGCAAGTGTGAGGGGTGAATATATGAATGATTGAGCTGGCAATGAAGAGGATGTTACGTAGGTGATTTATATTATACATGTATATACAGATCCTGAGAAAGATCAAATCTGAATGTGGAGATTCAGGATTACTGAGAAACTCACAAAAGGTCAGAAGCACCTGGGAGTTTTAGTTGTAAACAAACAAACAAACTACATCCTACCCCCCTAAAGGCAAAATTCTGATACATTCCCCACAGGTAAGCTTGTTCCTTTATCTGTCCAGGCCCTGCTCATAGCCCCTCCCCCACCTCTCCCACAAAGTTCCCATTTCCTGAAGGAACAGGCTAAGGAGAGATGTTACTGCTGGGAGCTTGTATGCTGCATGTGAATCTACGAGGCTGAAAACTACAGGATGAGTTTGTGAATCAGAAAACAGAGACAAGGACAGATTCTAGAAACACCCCCTTTTAGGGGCAGAGATAGGAAAATTATAGGCAATCAGGGAAATTGCCACAGTAACGGGAGTCAGGGTAGAAACTATAACAAAGCCAGGGAAATCGTTTATTAGCTGACAGATAGGTTTAAGTCACAGGACCTGCCCGAGTGACAAACTCAGGTAGGGGAGGAGAAAGGCCTCTTTTGCCAAGTCAGGGATTTCCAGGTAGAATGCATTTCTCCAAAGAGGATATTTAACATAACATAAGACTGTCTGGAGTCCTTTCTTCAAAGAAAGTCTCTGTTAACATGCTCCTCTCAGAGCAGAGACAATGATTAAGCTGATTAAGCTCTAAGGAAACTAGGCAGTTTTGAGGAAACACCTCCTCCGGGCTGAGCAACAAATGTGGCCCCAACAGGTGCCAGCCAGCCCCTCTCCCCAGACATAGAAAAGGTACAAAAACCAACGCTTTTGCCCTAACTAGTGGGCACCCCCTCTCGTTTTGAGAGCTGTTATTTTCTGCTCTAATAAACTGTCCTCTGTTGCAAACTTGACCTCTGGTCCGTGTCTCCATTCTTCGGTGCTACCAGACCACGAATCCAGGCGTGTACACACACACACACACACACACACACACACACACACACACACACACACACACACCTAAAGAAGATACTAAAACAACCCCCAAGAAACAAGCTAAGACTTTTAGGCGACTTCACTTGAGAAAAACAAGGACTTCTCAAAATAGATTCAGAAACCAGATCACTGATGGGATTAAAGGGAAGCTAAGTGCAGTAGTAAAAGGAGGCGGGAACTCAGAAGATGCAAAAAGGAAGGTGGGAAATGTCATCAGGGGCCTGTCATTTCCTCGATGCTGATTGCATCTGGAGCCTGTCCAATGGGAAAAGGGAGAGGAAACTCCCTACAGGATTATAAAGCTGAACAGAATCAGATTCTGGTAACAGTGAAAGAAAACCTTGGGCTGTGTTTCGTCCTCTGGCTGGGACCAAGGAAGACTGTCTGCTCTGCGAGAAAGAAAGGAGCCGTCAGCGCACCCCCGCACCCCAGCCCTCTCCCCGGCCTCAAGGACACCGCGCTGCTGCTTCCGCAGCACGGAACCAAGTCAGCAGGTGAGCGCGTCTCAGGCCACAGGTGACGGGGAAAGGGGCTAGAATATCGGGGTGAACGAAGCGGGAGCGACCAAGCTGGCCGGCCAAGGTGTGGACTAGGGGTGACTGGTCGCCGGCGCCTCACCGTGGTGGGTGAAGGCGGTAAAGGGGGAATTGGCAGAGTCAAGAGGTCTGGGGGGGCTGCAGAGAGGATGGGAGATGATCACTGGATTTATCTGGAAGAGATTTTCTGGCGGGCAGAGTGGATAATTTAGTGGGCTTAGAGGAGGAGGCAGTAGGGGAAGAGGAAGCTCAGCTGTGGGGGTGGATGTGACCTGACACCTGCTGCTCACCTGGACCACACCTGGGGAGGAGTGGGGAGTCCCAGGGGATTCTCGTGGGAGTTGCTGTGTGCCAGGCCATCTGCTCATTGCTGCTCCATTTTCTTTCTCAGTGTACTCCCTACTTAAGGTTTTATGTATGTGTGTATAATTACTTCACTGAAGATTAAATATTTACTGATATTTTATTACTAATAGGCACGTATGTCCCTTTCTTACCCTGGAACAAACTGTGGACTTTGTTTTGGTGAAACTGTAGTGTTTTAGGTGTTCCAAGGACATCAAAGCGAATTTATGCATTACACATTTTGACAGTGTTGAGAAAAACTCAGCAAACCTACAACTAGACAGTCCAACTAAGGATGATGGTGCCCTTTTTCAGCACCACCAAGCAATTATCCAATTAAGCAGCTGACAATGACAGTATTCCTATAATGTAGGTGAATTTGAAACTATCTTTCTAGGTAGACCCCTCAGCATCAGGTCCCACAAGACTGGCCCCACTGCAGAAGCCAATCGAAAGTCTAGGTTATTGCCTGTACTTATGACCCACAAACTATAAATCAGGTCCCTAAGACCCCCTCTTCGGGTTCTATTAATTTGTAGGTGCAGCTCACGGAATTCAGCATTTCCTTAAGTTTACCACCTTTATTATAATGGACACAGACTGAGAAACCACAATAGGGTGAGATCCAGAGAAGTTCTGCAGGGCAGGGGCTTCTACCCTGTGGAACTGGAGTGTGCCACCCTTCTGGCATTTGGATGTGTTCTCCAACCCAGAAACTCTTCAAATCTCCAAAAGTTTTTATTTCTTTTCACAGAACTTAATCTCCAGCTCCCTCTTGCCCTCCTAGAATTTAGTGGGTGAGGCTGAAAGCTCTAATCTTCTCATCAATTGGTGTTTGGGTGGTGACTTAACGCCATTAGCATAAACTCAGATGTGCTCAAAAAGGGCTCCTAATGAATACAAAATACACTCCTAGCACTCAGGAATTTTCAAGGGTTTTAGGAGCCCTGAGCCAGGAACTAGGGTCAAAGACCAAATACATTTCTCCCTATACCAATTAAGAGGAATGAAAATATAGTTCAGATTCTTAACTTCTGTGTCACACTTTATCTTATTGTTTAAAACCAGATATTTCAAGAGTTTTATCTAAATTTGTTTATGCTGACACCAAACTGAGAGGGAAGGTGAGTGTAATTATCCTTGTTCCATGTGTCCCTCAAAGAATGGGGGATCAAAGAACCAATCCCCAATGACCCAGGTAGTCTAAAATCAGACCTGGAATCCAACCCACATAACGCATAAGCAGATGGAACTTTAAAGCCTGCCTTGGTCTTCCTTCAATCTCCATTTATCTCAATTTGGGAGATTTGGAGGCCTGGGAATGGAAAGTGGAAACAAGGAGGGAGATAGTGATCTTGGAATGAAGGGGATAAGGGGACAGGTTTGAAAAAAACTGAGAGAGAAAAGAAATTTAATGAATCTGAGAGTTTTGAGATGAAGGGAAAAGAGACGAAGCTTAAACAAGAGAGTAAGAGAAACTGGCTTGGCTGTCCAGAGCACAGACACAGTGAAATAGAATTCAAAAGTAAATCTTTGTGGGGGGAGAAAACTTTTTTAATCAAAGAATATTTTAGGTATCCATAATAGAAAGGGTATCGTAATGATCCCATGTATGAAGATCCTATGTGCTATAATTGTAAACTTTTTGCCATTTCTTAACAATGTCCTACCAACTTCTTGCCATTTTTGTAAAGGAAACCCTTAGACATCACAGGATTTCACTTATAAACTTTTCATTATATATTTCTAAAAAAGACTTCATTTACAGACTTTGAATACCATTCATTATCTCAACCTCATATAATTGTCTTAGTTTTTTTTTCCCCATATATCCAACTTCTAAATTGAATTCTTTTTTTAAGGTTTTATTGGGAAATTGGGGGAGGGAAATAGTGTTGGGGAATTGGGGGAAGGGGAACAGACAAGTTGCTGTCCTTTTGTTCTTCAGTCTAGTTGTGGAGGAAGTCGCTTCACTGGCCCATGTTGGTATGATCATTGTGCTCTTCGCGGGTGAAGCAGTTGCTCGCCGACCATTAGACGGCTGCTCACAGCGGTTCATGGCAACTCACGAAAGCTCACGCCAGCTGCCAGTCAGCCCTACTGCAGCCTACGCTGTCGCTGGCGGCTCACGGCAAATCAGCTCCAGGTCGAGCTGTTGTTCACCATCCTAGTTGTAGAGGGTGCAGCGTAACTGGCCCTCATGTGGGATCCAAACTGGGGCCCTGCTGCTCCAAGCTGGCATCCCAAGCCAACTCCTAACCAACGTGCCACTCGGCTGGCCCCTAAATTGAATTTTGATGAAGTATTTCAAAATGGAGTGAAATTAGGTGTATACATTGTAATTGGTTAGTATGTCTTTTAAGTCCACTTTAAATTTTATATTATTTTTCCATGGGTTATTCATTTTCTTTTTACATTTATGTTGAAGAAATGTGGTCGAATTTTCAATAGAGTTTATCACAGTATGGATTTTACTAATTACTTAATGTATTACTCATGGTTTACCAGAGAAACAGAACCAATAATATGTATCTAGAAAGATATATGAAAAAGTTTAGGCTTATAAGGTTTTAGAGGCTGAGAAGTCCCATGATCTGCAGTCTGCAAGCTGGAGAATTAGGAAAGATGGTGGTGTAATTGGAAGGCCTGAGAGTCTGAGAACAGGTGGTGTAGATTCCAGCCGGGCCTGAAGGCCTAAGAACCAGGAGCGCCCAGAAAAGGAGGTAGATGTGCTAGCTTATTTAGTCCAGCAGAGTGTGAATTCAACCTTCTCCCTAACTTTTGTTCTCTTCAGGCCCTCAATGGGTTGGATGATGCTCATCCATTGATTCAAATACTAATCTCTCCCAGAAATACTCTCACAGACATACCAGAACTAGTGTTTGACCAGCTATCTGGGTATCCAGTGGCCCAATCAAGTTGACACATAAAATTGACCAGGTTATCCTTCACATGTTTCTCTATCCCTTGAATTTCCTGTAAATAGCTGGTTGGATCTCTGCTTGATGAGATTTAGGTTTCTTGCAAAACTTCTTAACAAGTAGTGTCATGGACTCCCTTAGGCACATCTATAATATCTGTTTTGTCATGCTTCTTGTGATGTTTGTAGCCAATGATGAATTTGCCTAATGGATTCATTCATTTAGAGTTGCAAAATAAATGATAGCCTTCATTGGTAACTCCTCCTTAAATATTATCTTGAAAAAATGATTTGGTCTACCTGAGTGAGGTACTCTTCATATGGGGATGTAAGGATTAATGCTGATTGAACTTTCCTTTAAAAAGCAATATTCTTTTGTCCACAGAAACCACATATGACTTGGGTTGTGCTTCATTTTTGACCACGAGGACTCCGTGACTGAGCTTCATTTGGGTGAATGTGCCATTACATATAGAAGGAGGGGGTGAGTGGAAGACTTGAAATCAGCTGGTGGCTGATTTCTTGGGACTCTACTTGGGAGCTCCTGTTGCATTTCACAGAGGAGAGCAAGGACTGAGGAGACATCAGTTCCTCCTGGAGGATCACACTGACTGAAGAGTCTCCTCAGACAGAAACCTTCACACACAATGGCCTTTGCCGCCTCCGTGGCCAAGCTCCAGGAAGAGGCCAGGTGCCCCATCTGCCTGGATTACCTGAGAAACCCAGTGACCATTGAGTGTGGGCACAACTTCTGTTACTCCTGCATCCACCAGCGCTGGGAAGGCCTACAGGACACCTGTCCCTGTCCCATCTGCCTTCACCACTGCTCTGACAGAAACTTAAAAAGGAACACCCAATTATGTTACGTGACTGATATTGTTAAGCAGCTTCCCACCCCAAGGAAAAAGAGGAAAAGACAAGAAGAGAAACTCCTGTGTAAGGAGCACAAGGAAGCTCTGGCCCTTTTCTGTGAGAAGGACCTGGAGCTGTTGTGTCCTCAGTGCAGGATCACCGCTGACCACCAAGACCACCCCCTGAAGCCCATTGAAGAAGCTGCAGCTAGTCAGAGGAGGAAGCTCAAAAGCTACATTGAGCCCCTGAGGGAGCAGGTTGAAGATGCTGAAAGGGGATATGAAAGTGAAGTTTCAAAAACGTTTGAAGTGAGGAGGAAGGTGGAAAATTGGAGAAGAGAATTACACTATGAATGTAAAGAACTCAAGTATTCCTTGGAAACTGAGCAAGGTGCAATTAATGCCTGCCTCTTTACGGAAGATAAGGACTTTGAAGAAAAACTAACTGAAAATAGGAGACAAATTTCTAACCATGTGTCCGTGTTAAATAACCTCTTAATGGAAATAGCAGAGAAGTATTTGCAGACAGACCTAGAGTTACTCACAAATATTGAGAGTACCCGCAACAGGTATGAACACATAGAGACCCCAGCAGCCTTTTCATATGAATTAAAGAAAGAGAGTTGCACCCTCCCCCCGCACTATTTTGGCCTGCATAAAATGATCAGCACATTTCACGTAGATTTGACACTAGATCCAGAAACTGCCCATGCGTGTCTCATTGTCTCAAGAGATAGAAAAAGTGTGATATTTAGGGCAATGACACAAAACTATTTTCGTAATCCCCAGGCATTGACTTCTTACCCAGGAGTCTTGAGTTCTGAGGGATTTGATGCAGGCAGGCATTTTTGGCAGGTAGAAATAAAAGGCACAGGTGACTGGTCCTTAGGCATCTGTAAAGAATCTTTCCCCAGACATCAACTTATGTCACCATCCCTGAGCAATAGCAGCTGGCAAGCTCAGCTTTTCATTACGATATGTGGTACATGTCTTATAGGACAAGTCAGGCGGATTGGTGTTTTTCTGGACTACGAGTTGGGAGAGGTTTCATTTTATAATTTGAATAGCAGGGCATATTTGTATAGATTCACTGATACATTTACAGAAAAACTATTGCCATATTTTTCTATTGGACCTTCAAAATCTCTTAAAATCAGTATTCTTAGAGACAAATGATGAACTACTGGAGGGCAATTTTGTATGTGGTTATTTTCCTCCCTTGTTATTGGAAGGAAGACTGTAATAAAGATTCCTATTCCAGTTTTGATGTTTGACTACTGAAAGTTTTTAGGACTCACCCTTCTCTTCTCTTTTTTTCACACCTGGGAAAGCTGATGAGAAAGACCGGGTGCTCCATCCTTCGGTTCCGGGAGGGGGGAATTCCAACCACACAAGGCCCTAGTGGTGCCAGAACCTTCCCACTAACACCACCCAGCAACCCCAAGTCTCTTTCCTCTGAGATCTGTCATTTTGGCTTTTACTCTGAGAGCCACTCTACTCTCCCAAAACCTCATCTTGTAAGAAACCGCGTCATAATTTTCTGGTATGTGGTGTGGCATCACCGGTTTTAACATTAGAAACAAGTTTTGAATGGGTTCCGCTCTGAAAACACAACATGGTCCCCACCATTGCTCCACCGTTGGCCCTGTGAACCGGATTTTCCAATGTGGAGTGCTACCAGGGGTTCCTCTGGCTATGGCTAGTAGCTGGCTCTGGTGTCCGAGGCAAGCATGCACTTTTCAGGTGTGCTGCCTTGTGCTGAGGTCTACCAAGAATGTGTCGTGGATCTCACTGACCAGAAGTTTCAATAAGGATCACATTCTTTTTTTTTTTTCATATAAAATTTTAAGAATTCTAATTGTTTTGCTTCTTTCTCATATTTTATAAAATTTTCATATACAACCTCAAAATGTCACACCCTCGTGTTTAACATTGTGTGAAACTGCCCACATTTTATAACATGTTTGGAAGCCTATATGTGTGTTGTTTACAGTTTGGAGAAATAAAGAGTTTTACTCTGCATATATCTGTGTAATATTTGTCTACACCCATAACATGAAAAGACAACAGAACTTTCGAGAACCCCTTTCATTGAGGTAGGTATGAGAGACCCCTCATTGATCAGAGGAGCCATGCTGTGCTGTGGTAATCTCAGTTGCTTAGCAAGACAAAACCTAGTACTTATTCTTGTAAAGTGCAATGTGGGTCAGTAGGGTACTAATTACCCACCCAGGAATCAAACTCGCTCAGTTAATGGGTTGTCACAGCACAGGGTCACTTCAAGTAGAAAAAGAAGGAGCATTAAAAAGGTACACTGAGATTTGAAGGCCAATGCCAGGAAATGACACATTTTCTCTTCCATTTTCTAATAGTAATTGCGAGGCCCAATTTACATATTACATGTAACCTGAGGTGAAAACCTACTGTTTGCCCATAATTTTTGAATTCCAATAGATGTTGGTGCAACTTGCACTAATGATGAGTGCTAGAATTAAAACTCTCCACTTAGAACTTGTAAGTAGATTAACACAGATTTACAATAGTTTGGCTTAATCCTATAGTAGCTGTTCAATAACTTCTCCCAGTAAAGAAGATATTCTTTATAAGCCTTAAAACTTTCTGCTTTTTTTTTTTTT